TGTAGGCAAGATGTTTCGGAGTAAAGATACTTAACCCTTTGAGGGTCGACAGGCCCTCTCCGAAACTCGTTCTCAGGGTCGGCCAAATTTAAAAAAAAAAAAAATTATTTTCTCTTATGAAAAGATAGAGAATCTTTTCCCGATCATAAAGACATCAAAAGTTTGAAATTTGATAGAAAACTTACGGAATTATGCTCTCGCAAAGTTAGCGGTCTCGGCGATATTTACGCATCGGCGATTTTGCCCACTTTGAGCCCCATTTTCGGCCAATTTCACTGTACTAGTCGACAAAAAACATGAATATTTCGCTAGAACTCCATTTTTTCTATCGAATGGGTGCAAGAAACCACCCATTTATGAAATTCAACTATCCAGTACAGTGTCAGAATTTAGCAATTTTGCCAATTTCACACAAATTTCAAAAGATGCCAATTTCCAAATAGGGTCCAGAATAAACAAGAAAGACATTCCTGGCACTAAAATGACATTTCCTCTAGTCATTAGTCACGTCTCAAGGCCCCTCTTATATTCTTTTGCTTTCCACTTTGAATTTTTATTCTCACAAAAATATAAGATTTACTGTTATGCAGACTACTGCATTAGTGTAAAAAATGGTATAAATATTATTGGTGCACTTGTGAAAGAATATTAGACTCGCCAGTTGACGTGTATTGCACGCTTGGCACGATTTGTTTACTTTTGAAGTTTGGTAAAAATCGAACATTTCTGCTACTTTGAGCTCAATTTCAAGGCACCTTTCATTGTAAAACCAGTCAAAATCATCTCAATTTCTGTAATATGTCTTCCATTCTATAAAATGAGACCAAGAAAACTAGAATACAACAATAAATACCATACGAAAATACACTGCAAAGTCGCTGATTTATTCCAAAAAAATGTTTTTTTTTTTCTCATTATGCACTGTGTGCTGCAGGATTTTTTTTAGACTGTGCACACTGACCACATAGACCCATTCTTTCATATGAAGGCCTACCAGCTTTCTCCCACTAGATTTGAGGCCGCTAGAATTTATGCGTACTAGTACATCAAAAACCCCTACGCGTAAGACGTACTAGTACGACCAAAACCCTCAAAGGGTTAAATGGAAATGGATGTTAGTAAACATAATCAGTTTAATTGCTGCCACTATTTCCTATGCCCCTTTCCTCTCCCTGTTCACTCTATAGGCTTTCTGTAATTTACCTCCTGTATGTCTGTCCAGCATTTTTCTCTTCACCATATAGGAAGTTGTGACCATTAGTGTCTGCTCTTCCTTATTTCTAAGTCCTCGGAAAACGTCAGATATGCAACAGTATGCAGCAGTTTTTCTGGACAGAATTATGCAAGGTCATTTACTAGACTGCTAGTATTCTCATAGCTGAGTTGTATGCAATTCTCTTGGCTGTCATGTTTATCGAAAAATTTTTGAAAAAGAATTTCTTATGAAATGATGGAGAATCTTTTTCCGATCATAATGACACCAAAAGTATGAAATTTGATGGAAAACTTGTGGAATTATGCTCTCGTGAAGTTAGCTGTCTCGATGATTTTTACACCGACAATTTCACCCACTTTGAGCCCTATTTTCGGCTAATTCCAATGTTCCAGTCAACTAAAATCATATCTATTTCACTAGCCCCTTGACTGTCGCAACCCCAAATCCTGAGGGGTCTCCTGGTGTTGCAAAATCCCCCCCCCCCCCCAAAAAAAAAAAAAAAAAAAAAATTCATATGAAATGATAGAATCTTTTCCCGATTGTAATGACACCAAAAGAATAAAATTTGATGGGAAAACTGATGGAATTATGCTCTCACAAAGTTAGCGACCTCGGCGATATTTACGAATAGGCGATTTCACTCACTTTGAGCCCTATTTCCGGGTAATTCCATTGTTCCAGTTGACCAAACTCATAGCTATTTCTTTAGAACTCCATTTTTTTCTATTGATTGAGTACAAGAAACTGCCAATTTACTGATTTCAACTACCCAGTAACGTGGTCAAAATTTGCAATTTGACCAATTTCACGAAAATTAAAAAAATATGACAATTTCAAAATAGGGTCCAGAATGAACAATGCAGACATTCCTGGCTCTAAAATAACATTTTCTTTGTTCATCAGTCGTCTCCAGGCACCTCTGATATTACTCTTGCTTTCTATTTTGAATTTTTATTCAAACAGAAAATAGAAGATTTACTGTTATGCAGACTACTGCAATACTGTAATAATTGTATAAATAACATCAACGCATTCATGACTGCATATTAGAATGGCTAGTTGGACATTTATTGGAAAATGACATCATTTGTTTACTTTTGAACATCGGCAAAAATCAAACATTTCCCTTACTTTGAGCTCTATTTCAAGGTTCTTTTCATAGTAAAACCAATCAAAATCACCTTTATTTCTCTAATATGTTTTCCATTCTATCAAATGAGACCAAGAAAACGAGAATACAGCCATAAATACTATACGAAAATAGACCAGAAAATCGGCATTTTAATTAAATTTTTTCTCATTATGCACTGCGTGCTGAAGGATTTTTTTTATATGGTGCACAATGACCACACAGACCCATTCTCTCACATGTGGGCCTACCAGCTTTCTCCTGCGTGATTTGAAGCCGCTAGAATTTATGAGTACATATAGTATAGTATATGTCAAAAACGGTGGCTCATAAGACGTATATATACGACCAAAACAGTCAAAGGGCTAGAACTCCATTTGTTCTATTGATTGAGTACAAGAAACCACCCAGTTACTGATTTCAACTACCCAATAAAGTGGTCAGAAATTGGCAAATTGGCCAATTTCACACAAATTTCAAAAGATGCCAATTTCAAAATAGGGTCCAGAATAAACAAGACACATTCCTGGCATTAAAGTAACATTTTATCTGTTCATTAGTCACGTCTCCAGGCTCTTCTTACATTACTTTTGCCTTCCATTTTGAATTTTTATTCTCGCAAAAAATAAGACTATTTACTGTTGTGTATACTACTGCATCATTGTAAAAATGGTATACATGATAACAGCAATATTAGACTTACCAGTTGATGTGTACTGGACATGTGGCATGATTTGTTTACTCATAAACGTCGGCAAAAACTGAATATTTTCGCTACTTTGAGCTCAATTTCAAGGTATGGACTTGTCATTGTGAAACCAATGAAAATCATCGCTATTTGTGTAATATATCTTCCATTCTGTCAAATGAGACCAAGAAAACGTGAATACAACCATAAATACCATATGAAAATACACTGGGAAATCACTGTTTTAAACCAAAAACAAGGTTTGAGTTCTTTTTTTCTCGTTATGCATTCTTTTTTATACTGTGCACACTGACCACGCAGACCCATTCTTTCATATGTAGGCCTGCCAGCTGTCTTCCACCTGATTTGAAGGCGCTAGAATATATGCACATAAGTACATTACCGACCCTGGCTGCAATTACATGTACGTGACCGACCCTCAAAGGGTTAAAGCCTACCTTGTCATTTGTAGTAGTTTCAGGCTATCTAGAAATTTGATTCCAGCATCTCATCCTGTGTCTACAACTTTGGTTATATACTACATTTCTAGTAAACACAAATATTTTATTCTGGGTCCCTAGAAATGTTCATGTTCTGGGTAATGAACAGGCAGACTGCCATTCGGTCAGCTGTTCATAGGCCCCCATATTTTATACAGAGGTAGCATTCTTTTCTCAGACTATTCTCTGGTAATTGCTCAACACCTTTGCAACCAATGGCAATAACAGTGGTCTTTGATCCTTAATAAATTTTTCTGTCAAACCATGTTTAGTGTCTGGCCATCTTACCATCGCTTATCTATTGTCTCGCAGACGTCTTATGGAAAAACACACTGCACTGCTATGTGAGGATTGCCAAGTTGCGTTGTCACTTCACTGTCTCTCAATGGGTTCTATTAGTGGGCATGCAGACTTCACTTGTAATGTCTCCACCGCCCTAACAAACCTTACCTGAGCTTCTCAATGAGTCCCACCCATGACGCATAAGTTGGAAGAGGTAGTAAGTGCTACAGTGATTGGAAACATTTAAACATTGTGATTAATATATTAATGAAGACAAGAAGCATTGAGCATAGCACTGCTACCATGGCTACAAATAAGTACAATTATAATACAAAAATTAAACAAAATACAAAAAAAAAGTGAATGTGCAAAACTAAGGGATTATAAAGAAATTTAATTATTTAGTGGCATTGAATATGTGGTGTACTGTCCTGGTCTTGTCCTCCTGTGAAGGAGGCATGTTGATTGTCTACTGTAATAATAATGTAATCTTGTCCTCTCCCAAAGAGGACATGGTTATTTTTGTCACTTGTTTTAGATCATTTATATTGAGAATTTCTTTTACAGCAAAAACCTGGTGGAATTGCTGCTTTTAATGTATGTATGTATTGATTCAGTGTGTGTACACGTGCAACCCTCCCTTCCAACACATTCAGTCCCCCCACACAGATGCAATCCCCCCACACACATGCAATCCCCCCCCCACACACACATGCAATCCCCCCCCCACACACACATGCAATCCCCCTACAGACATGCTACCTCCTCCCCCCACACAGACATGCAACCCCCTACACACATGCCACCTCCCCCACCACACACATGCAACCTCCCTCCCCACACACATGCAACCTCCCTCCCCACACACATGCAACCTCCCCCACACACACATGCAACCTCCCCCCACACACATATGCAACCTCCCCCACACACATGCACCCTCCCCCCCACACAACCCCCATACACACCATACACATTCACCCCCCCCACACACACACACTGGTCAGTAGTACAGACCAACTAGTGTTTCATCATTTGGTTGGTTTGTTCTAATGTGGCATAAATCAATATTAATTTAAAGTTAAGACTTAGCATACTTTGTTTACTCAGTGCTCTGTATACACATGAAGCTGCATTCATGATATGAGTAGATTTTTTATGGTTTATTGTTTTTCTGGTTTTCAGGTATGGAAGTATAAGCAGTGTTACCCACGTGTTGTTTGGTCCCACAGTAAAACTTACGATCATGAAAATGGTTTTGTCACAGCGTCAAAGAGAGGAACTGTGAGTATTGATATGTTTCCCTATGTAAAATTGTCTTTGGTATTGGATTGTTTGACATTAGATAAAATTGAAGGTAGCTAAAGTCCTTCCTCACTCAACAATACATGCACTCCAATAAAACCTTGCACTAAGTGAAGTGTTAAGAGAAATATATCCTTATATTGGCTTTGCTTTAATATTATTGCAAAGTTTATATGGAAGCTCATATATATGTACAAATGAAAATGTATACAATTATTGAAGAACATAGCCTGGCCTCCTCTCATTTCTCCCCCACCCTCCCACTCTCCTATACAAAGAAAATAAACTTGCCAATCAACCAGGCTGTGATGGATATGTGGGTCAGTGGGCCACCAGCAGCACCAACCTGGTTGACCAGGCAGGTACAAGAGGAGCCTGGCCTAGGGCTAGGCTCTGGGAGTAGAACTCTGAACTCATCAGAGGTAATATAATGGTTGTTATAAAAAAGGTGGAGTAAAGTGTTACAGTACTTGGAGAGGCTGGACCAGAATCTTTTGCCAGTTATTACTGATGTTCATTTTAAGTTTTGATTATCAGCATGTAAGGAAGGGGCAGATAAGAGATAGAGGGGTGGGAGAGAGGGGTACGAGGATTAGAAAGAGGCATAAGATGGAATAGGAGAAGGGTTAGAGTGAAAGACTGCGTGCTTGGCATAGTGCTTTCCCTCAAGTTACAAACAGGTGATCCACCTACTTTTATGACGGAACCTGCCTGAGCACTAGTGTTTATTCGTCCTGCTGAATGTCACATTCAGTTTTTTAAATTGTTCCAAGTAGACAGAAGTATCGGAAAGGGGGTGGGGTGGCACTCTTTCCGAAATGATTTAAATTATTGCATAAAAACTGGTATAAAGTCTGAAACACATACTGAGTCTGTGTGGGTAGAATTTTCAGAGGGGCATGAAAAATTGATTTTAAGCATGATATACCATCCCCTAAACTTAGATAGGGACCAAGGGAGACTACTTTGGGAGGAAATTGTTAAGGCCACAAGGCACGATAACATAGTAATTCTAGGGGACTCTAACTTTAGTCAGATTGATTGGAATTCTTTAACTGGGAATTTAGAATCTAATGACTTCTTAGAGGTAGTGCAGGATTGTTTTTTCAAGCAGTTTGTGACAGAACCTACAAGGGGAAATAACCTGCTTGACTTGGTTCTGGCAAACTAGGAAACTCTTGTCAATGATTTAGAAATTACAGAAGAACTCGGTGCAAGCGACCACAAATCAATTACCTTTAGCATTGAATGGAAGTATGATAGGAGGAATAACTCGGTAACGGTCCCAGATTTTTGCTTAGCAGATTACAATGGGCTTAGAGAACACTTATCTGTGGACCAGGGTAACGAAAAGAGTTGTCAGTATGACAGTTTTCTAAACACTTAACATGCTGCCCAAAGAACGTTTATCCCGTATAAAGAAATTAGGTCAAATAGAAATGATCCAGAATGGATGAATAATAGGCTCAAATGTCTTTTAGAGCAGAAGAAAGGAATTTATAGGCACATCAAAAAGAGGTGAGGGTCATCTTATGAATCAGTATATTGACATTAAGAGGGACATTAAAAAGGGGATAAGAAAAGCTAAACGGGACTATGAAATTAAAGGTGCTAGGGATTTGAAAACTAACCTAAAAGATTTTTTTCCAGGTTTATAGAACAAAAGTTAGAGAAAAGATAGGTCCCCTTAAAAATAACTCTGAACATCTTATTGACAAGGAGAATGAAATGTGCTCTATTTTTAATAATTATTTTCTCTTCATTTTCACTCAGCAAGATACTAATAATACCCCAATAATTAAGTTTTATAGTGGGCCTGAAGAAGATAAATTATGTAGTATAACAGCCACTAGTGATATCGCTATGAAACAAGTAGACCGACTGAAACAAAATAAATCCCTGGGCCTTGATGAGCTTTTTTCAAGGGTTCTTAACCTTTTCAGTGTCGAGACCCTCAAATCTTAAGTCACACCCAGGGTTGGAAAATATTAAAAAAAAAAAAAAATTCTTTTTCACATTAATACTTTCCTTACATCCTATCTATTCCTTCACTTCTGAAAAGAGTGCAGATTCAAGTTTCTAAGATCTAAATTAATTTTTTATGAGAGAGCCTCAGAATTTGCTAAACACAAGCCTATCTGACGTTATCCTGATGCCAAATGACTTCAAACAGGTGATAAATGACATGCCCATGCACTCTGCCCCAGGGCCAGACTCATGGAACCCCATGTTCATCAAGAACTGCAAGACGCCTCTATCACGTGCTTTTAATTAACATCTTACGGAGAGGGAGCATGGACACTGGGGTCGTCCCACAGTTACTAAAAACAAACGTAGCCCCACTCCACAAAGGGGGCAGTAAAGCAATAGCAAAGAACTACAGACCAATAGCGCTAACATCCCATATCATAAAAATCTTTGAAAGGGTCCTAAGAAGCAAGATCGCCACTCATCAATTACATGACTCAGGGCAGCATGGGTTTAGTGCAGGTCGCTCCTGTCTGTCCCAACTACTGGATCACTACGACAAGGTCCTAGATGCACTAGAAGACAAAAAGAATGCAGATGTAATATACACAGACTTTGCAAAAGCCTTCGACAAGTGTGACCATGGCGTAATAGCGCACAAAATGCGTGCTAAAGGAATAACAGGAAAAGTTGGTAGATGGATCTATAATTTCCAGACAACTAGAACACAAAGAGTAGTAGTCAACAGAGTAAAGTCTGAGGCAGTTACGGTAAAAAGCTCTGTTCTGCAAGGCACAGTACTCACTCCCATTTTGTTCCTTGTCCTCATATCTGACTGACAGGGATGTAAGCCACAGCACAGTGTCTTCCTTTGCAGATGACACCTGAATCTGCATGACAGTGTCTTCCATTTCAGACACTGCAAGGCTCCAGGTGGAGATCAACCAAATCTTTCAATGGGCTGCAGAAAACAATATGAAGTTCAACGATGAGAAATATCAATTACTCCGATATGGTAAACGGGAGGAAATTAAAACTTCATCAGAGTATAAAACAAATTCCAACCACACAATAGAGTGAAAAACTAAGGTCAAAGACCTGGGAGTGATCATGTCTGAGGATCTCGCCTTCAAGAACCATAACATTGTATCAATCGCATCTGCTAGAAAAATGACAGGATGGATAATGAGAACCTTCAAAACTAGGGATGCCAAGCACATGATGACACTCTTCAGGTTGCTTGTTCTATCTAGGCTGGAATATTGCTGCACACTAACAGCACCTTTCAAGGCAGGCAAAATTGCTGACCTAGAAAATGTACAGAGAACCTTCATGGCAGGCATAACTGAGATAAAACACCTCAATTACTGGGAGGGCTTGAAGTTCCTGAACCTGTACTCCCTGGAATGCAGGCGGGAGAGATGCATGATTATATACACCTGGAGAATCCTAGAGGGACTAGTACCAAACCTGCACACGAAAATCACTCACTACGAAAGCAAAAGACTTGGCAGATAATGCAACATCCCCCAATGAAAAGCAGTGGTGTCACTAGCACGTTAAGAGACAGCACAATAAGTGTCGGGCCCAAGACTGTTCAACTGCCTCCCAGCATACGTAAGGGGGATTACCAATGGACCCCTGGCAGTCTTCAAGCTGGCACTGGACAAGCACCTGAAGTTGGTACCTGACCAGCCGGGCTGTGGTTTGTACGTTGGATTGTGTGCAGCCAGCAGTAACAGCCTGGTTGATCAGACCCCGATCCATCATGAGGCCTGGTCACAGAACGGGCTGCGGGGGCGTTGACCCCTGGAACTCTCTCCAGGTACACAACCGCACAAATGTTGTCTCTGTATTGTTTACAAAACATGTTTATGCAAACCAACAGTATAAAATGTTTATTACTATTTTTCTATATATATATATATATATATATATATATATATATATAATATATATTATTTTATTATATATATATATTATATATATATATATATATATATACATACATACATATACATATACATACATACATACATACACACGTATAGTGGTCCCTCAATCGTCCGGCCTGAAAGTCGTCCATTTCGGAAATAGTCCTGTTTTTTCGTCAAAATATTGGCTCGCAAATGGTCCGGTAACTCGCTAATAGTCCTAATAGTTCTTTGTCCCGGATGTGTACTCACGCTCTGAGCTGCCTCGGCCTTTCCTTCCCAGCCTGTGTGCCATTGTTTACCAGCGAGTGACAGTCCCCTCACATGCTCCTACGAAATATTTCATAATATTCCATTGATTTTAGTGCTTGCAAGGGCTAAATAAGCTACCATGGGTCCAAATAAAGCTTCTAGTGCCAGCCCTTTGGTAAAGAATGTGAGAAACACATAATTTATGAAAAATTTGTAGAAAAATACAAAAATGGTGGTGGTAGAGTGGAAGCAGTTGTGTTAGTGGTTGATGAACTTAAGAAAGGAGGATCACTGCAGCAGGCCTGTTGGCCCATGCTCGGCAGGTCCTTTACAATTCATGCCACTAACGAAACACTTTCCCAACCCAGTCCTCAATGCTACGCAAGAAATAATCTCTGATAACTCTATCCACTCATTTGCAAGTCCCAAATGAGTGGATAGAGCTATCAGAGCTTATTTCTTGGGTAGCATTGAGGACTGGGTTGGGAAAATGTTTCATTAGTGGGATGAATTGTAAAGGACCTGCCGAGCATGGGCCAATAGGCCTGCTGCAGTGATCCTCTATCACAACTGCTTCCACTCTACCACCACCATCTTTGTATTTTTCTACAAACTTTTTCATAAATAATGTGTTTCTCACATTCTTTACCAAAGGGCTGGCACTAGAAGCTTTCTTTGGTGGTAGTGATGGTGGTAGAAGGTAGTAGTGATGGTGGTAGTAGGTAGTAGTGATGGTGGTAGAAGGTAGTAGTAGTGATGGTGGTAACAGTTGTAATAGTGGTAGAAGGTCGTAGTGATGGTGGTAGTGGGTTCCTTCTTTAGTGA